TTGAATTGTTAAAGAGCTTTCGATTTGACGACAACATTAAATGCCTAAAGAATTTAGTCATGAATGAGAAACAAATTCTTGGCGTTGCTGGTAGCAGTAATGATGTGCATCTCATGACATTAGAATATTATAACGAACATAAAGATGAACTGAAAGGAGAGAAGGGTGACAAGGGAGACGCTGGTCCTCAAGGCATACAAGGTCCTCAAGGCATACAAGGACCTCAAGGTCCTCAAGGAGAACAAGGAGAGAAGGGTGACGATAGTTTGGATGGTAAAAATGGAAGAGATGGAAAGAAAGCTAGTTCATGATTGTGGGATGTTATAGACACTGGTTTAACTGCAGCTGCATTATCTGGAATAGAATACCAAATCGGAAAGATATGGGCTGTACTTGGTGAAGATGTGTTAGATGACGTTAAAGATGCTTTGAACTTCATTTCAAATGGTTCGGATACTATTAAAACTTTATCTGGTTGGATGCAAGAAACAAGGAGTCAAATAGATACTGTAAGACGTATAGCAAACAATGCACGTACGGGATTGGATACTTTACGAGAAGCACAAAATACACTAAAGGAAGCAAATGATATTCTTGGCTCAGTATCAGACATGCATGAAGATTGGCTTAAAGGTATTGACAAATCTTTAAAAAATCACAGTCAGTCTATTGCTGACTACAAGAAAAGTATAGATTTTTTACATAGTGCTATGGACGTACATGATGGAAGTATAAAGAACTTACTTAATGATAACAATAACTTACCAGGAACTATTAAAACATTCATAAAGTCCTTTGTAAAACCTGGTGCTCTAACATTTAGGTCTTTGAGAGCAAGAGCATTGAAGTCAAGAGACGTAGAAACTCCAACAGAACCTACAGAAGGAACTGAAATAACAGAAACTCCAGAAGAGCCACCAAAACCAACAGCTAATGAAATATTGTTCGAATATTTTCCAAGGTACTCTGTCCTCATTGCATACATTCAAGAAATACTTAAGAAAGCAGACTTGACTTTAGGAGATGATGAAAGTTCTGTATATCTTTCGTTCCAGTTCCAAATAGCAGAACTTTTGAGACAGATATGCTTAATGTATGACAACATCTCTGATTTCACAAGATATGATGACGACCATGACCCCAAACACGGTGAAGAAGAAGTTTTACAAACATCCATTAAGACAGGAAAGATTTTAACTCAAAGTCTCATTATTGACACCGAAGGTGGTGAAATAGATGTTTTAAACGAATTGAAGAAAAATACTTCTTCGGGAGGTGGTGGTAGGCATGAACTTGAAATAAATGAGATAGAAGAGAAATTAGCCGAAAAAGCAGACAAAAACCATGTTCATTATATAAGTTCAGACGAACAAATTATAATGGACTACCATGGATATTTAACACAAGATGAACAAATAAGCACTGAAGATATTAATGAAAGAAGATATAAATACATTCGTGCTGAAGGTTATGATATAAGATGTGTTGTAAGTTATGACACAGGTAAGGCTCCAGAAGCATTTGACTATAACGATGAAATATATGCTTCGTATTTCTTTGTTAACAATGTATTAGTTGAACCAAGATTTATGTTAAGAGTTAAGGCAAAAATAACTGTTGAAGATGCTCTAAAAAATAAAGCTGACAAAGAACACATACATCCTGAAATAAATGAAGAAATTAGGAGTTTAAGATATGATTTAGAAAGTATGCAGCCGGCAGAGCATAAACATAATATATCTGACATAAATAACCTTCAAACCGCTTTAGACAGTAAAGCTGAAAAGAACCATACACATAATTCCTTCACAAATGTTGCTATAGAAAACATTGAAGGAACTGTTGGCGGAACTGGTGGAGATTCTTTATATTATAAACCTCCTAACTTTCCAAAACCAAGTCTAAGAGCCATTTGTCAGATTTTCCCGAAATGCAAGGTTAAGATTTTAGCAGCGACTAACTTTGAGTGTACATATATAATTGTTATACTGAGTACTTTCTATCTGTGTTACTTATTTGAGTCTAAGAGTCATTTCTACCATAGAACTAGATATTGTCTCTCATTAAATATATATAACTGTAAACTGCTTAATTCATTTATCTATTTAGATAAAATTATATTTATATAAGATTTCATGTTATTATTTCATCTTTATTATTTTTTTATTCCTTTGAAAAGTGACACTGGATAGTTTGTCCCTTTCTCTGTTTTTGCATAAATAAATCTTATTGTATCGATTCCAATTTTTACTGATAATAGATATTTTAATCGATAAATTCTTTAATTCATAATAAATACTGATATATTATTTAAAAATGTATCAAAATGTCAATATTTTCTTTTAAATTTATTAATAAAATAATTTGCTACGTGGGTGTAATAATTTGATCAATCACGTTTGGACCAAAATTCCCAACAAATTTAAATCATAATCATTTTTACAAAATAATCATAAAAGGAAGTATTTAATCTACGTTATAGTGGTTGTGGGATACATCGATGAAGACGCTTGGAATTTGATACAAGATAGAATGAAGACAAAAAAAAGTTTTATAAAAAATAGAAAATCCAATATTTGATTAATTATCATATTGGATTAAGATTTGTAAATTTGAAAATAAATCAAATTGAGAGTACGGTAAACAGAATTGAGAATGTTGTAAAAATATTTCAGAGAATTTTTTTATTTGAGAAGTTTTCTTTGTTGAATTAATTGAATTGAAGTCAAGAAGGAAATTATAAAATTTATTTAATCCTAAGTGATAAATTCCTTATTAAAATGGCTAGGAATTGGAGGGTGTGAGTACTATAGAACGTAATAGTATTTCACACCCTCCAATTCATCCTATGACGCCGAAAAATTTTGGTGAAATGCGACGACATTTCATCAAAAATTTTCGGCGCCATATAGAGAACTATAGTCTGTGAGGTACTGATTCTATCTATGTACCTCGCAGACCATAGTTCTGAGTCCCAATTCCAAAAAAAAACCTGTAATATAATTTTTGACATGTAAACTCTAAAGTCTATTGGCCGGCCAAATATTTGTCACTTTTCACTTCACTTCACTTCCATCATTTCGTCTTACCACAATATTGAGGATTTCTGGTGCCAATTATTGTAAACTCATCCAGAAAAAACACACTGATAATGTTTTTCAATGTAAAAACTGCCCATGCGAAATTAAAATCGAACACAATGCAGAATGAATATTCAGAGCTATTTATATTAAAGATCACGATGACTGAAAAATTGAAACAAAATTTCTATAGGATGTTATCAATTACTATGTTGAAAAATACATAGATTTATACAATCCGCAAAATAAGCAGAATTTTATCCAAATGATCAGATCAAAATTCGGAAGAAATGACGTTTGAATACCATAGAACAAATTAAATATTCACCATATCTTTTTTTTAAAAAAAAAAAGTCCAATCGGTGTATGGTGAATTTCACCTCGCATGGCACTACACCAAACATATCTCTCGCGAATGAGAGTAGATTATCATTTTACCATAGCAGATTTCCCTGACGCAAAAGATAAAGAACTTTACATATCTATAGCGTTTATCAGGTTTATACTTGAACGAAAAGGCAAAACAACATATAAATTTATCGGTTATGAGATAAGAATAAATCCCCTCCTTGAGCCTTTAGTAGCGTTAAGAAATATTGCTCATGATAACAAACAATTTATATGTAATGTGAATGAACAACTTGTGCCACTGAAGAAAAACTTTCTCAAATAAATGAGAAGATACAAAATTCAATTACATATTTAAGATCGTTTGAAATTCCAAATGAATTGTTAGATACGTATATGTTAGAAATTAATGAATTTTGTTATAATTCTCCAGGTTATATTTTAGAACATTTCGAAGAATTTTTAGAGGATTTCAAAGAAAAGAATAATTTAATAGACTAAAAAATTTATTATTTTTATTTATTGTGAATTTTAAATTGTCACTTTTTAAGTGTTACTCCCTATTGAAAGTGTCGCTTTTTTGGGTGTCACTTTTTCGGAAATTCTTATATACTCTGGGACTTGCTCATTATGAGGTATATATTCTTACTATATACCTCATAAGGGGCAAGTCCTTACCAAAAACGAGAAAACTTGCTCGAAATGCGAAAGAATGTCGAGCAAGTTTTCTCGTTTTTGGTAAGAAACCAAAGGCTGTGAGGCACTGATAACGTATTTCAATCCCTAATTAAAAAACAAATTAAAAACACAATTTTTTATTCAATTGCCACGTAAACTTTGGCAAAAATAAACTTTACATTGGCGACAAGGGCGTATTCAATTTTGGCCTTGCGACGCCATAAAGCTTTGAAAAAATAGTGTAAACTTCTCAAAATTGAATAATTTACATTGCGACGCGACGCGACGCCAAAGCACTTTTTTCCTATAAATAAATTTTGATTTTTTATTATTTTTAATTTTTTTAAATAAATAGTAAAAAATACTAGTTACTTTATGAAAGGTGGGACGACAATTAAAAAGTGAATATATATTTTAGTAGTTGCTTGATTCTTTTTACGGGCTTATTTATAAGCCCGTAAAAATGTCACAACTATTTATATATATAAACAATATACCTCAAATTTTTCTGAGCTTTGTCTCAGAAAAATTTGAGGTATATTCGCTATATCACACCCTTCAAATTGTTTTTGGATTATGATTTGATAGAAAAAAGGGACCCAAAAAAATTTGAATGGTTGGTTATACATATATACATATATAAATAAATAACAAAATATAATGCAAAAAATAGTGTTTGAGGAGAAAAAAAATTGTAAGTTAGCCTATTCATCTAAATATCACATTCATAATGCTCATTTTGTATCTAGTATACCATATCAACTTGGGCAGATTTGAATCTTAAAGTCTCAGATTGACCTACTTTTCCAAAAATATGTTCTCAAAACTCATTTGACACCTGAAGCATAAACATCTGAATTGCATCCTTAAAAAAATTTAATTATACAAACATAATTAGAAATCATCTTTTGACGAGTAAGAAGCAACTTCGGAAACGCTTTCTCCGAACAAATTATCTTCAGGTTTGTTTTTATCTGTTTCTGCTAAATTAATTGTTGCAGTATTAACAGTAGATTTGATAGTATCTTCTTGAAGAGGAATTTCTGTATCAGAGTCTTTCAAAAGATCTAAAACAGGATCATTCAAGTCATTCATATCTGCTGTTGTCGCTGCAATAACAGGTCTCTTAACAGGAACATTATCTTGTGAATCTTCATCGCTTGATGATGAAGCAAAATCAATCTTTTCACTGCTCTTTTCCTTATTTTTGGATTTCGAAGCCGATGTCGATGAAGATGAGACGTCAAGGAAATCATCTTTCCTCTTCTTTCTATTAAACATATATGGATCATCAGTAAATCCAATAGAATGACCAGATTCTTCTTCAGGCATTGAAATCGTTTCAATATCTGAATCATCTGGAAGTAAATTTGCTCTGTTTGGTCTGATTCTCTGTTCGTAAGGTAATTTCTTCCTTGCAGTATTCAACACATCCTGCGGAACTACATTCTTTTCCACAGGAGTTTCCTTTGCAATTTGTCTCGCTGGTTTTCCTTTCATATTTTCTTCAATAGGAGGAACCATCGGGAATTTCACATCTCTCTCGATAAACAACTTAGATTGGTCAACTTCTTCAAGAGGAGCACTTCTTCTGACTTCAAATAATAATCTGTCAAATAAAGCGATGTAAACATTTGAATTTTCTGTCAACTTCTTTCTAACGTAAGGTATTGATAACTGAGGTACTGCACGAGATCTTCTGAGCTCTTCTAATTGCTTTGTTAAGTCTTCGTTTACTTGTTTCTTGTAGTTTGGCATCTTGAAGTCTTTCTCGGTCTCATCGATTGAGAAATCTCTTTCCAAAAACTTCTTTGCTTTGACTCTAATATGTTCTCCAGGCAAGAAAACAACTCGTGGAGGAGGTTCTTGATTGGGTGGAGGTGGTTCTATTGTGTTTACTAAATCTGCATGTTCATCCATTCTCTTGCTCATCTGTTGAACAGTCAAGTCTTCATCATTGATTGACTTTTCATCCAATTGAGGTTGTTTTGATGGTAGGGATTCTTTTTCTGGTATTTTGACGGTATTCAAAAGGTAATTTAAGTCTTGAACAACAGTTTCTTTGGTAGAAGCAGGAGATAATAGGTTCTGCTGGCTTGTAGTAATAACAGGAGGTTGGTTTACGATGATATTGTACTTCTGTTCCTTTTCCATTGTTGATGAAAGCCATTTTTCGTGAGATTTCTTAAGAGCAGCCACAGCCTCATCGAGTTGCTGTCTGATTTCAGCTTGTAGTTGATCCTGTTCTGTATTACGCTGTTTTGTACGTTCAATAAGTACTTGTTGATTGTTTTTAAGTTGATTAATTAACTCAATTTGCTCTTGAGGAAGTTTTACTTCCTTTGGTTCATCTGTCTTCTTCTTTCTAAGAATTGCAGCTTCCCTTCTGGTTTGAGCAATAACATTCCTAAGGTTTTCGAGTTCTCCAATAATATCTTTTAATCCATGGATTTCTCCGCATCTTAGAGATTTCCATGCAGGTAAAAGTGCATTATGACGTCTTTCCATGTGGCTATCTAAGTATGCCATGTTTTTATACCTCTTTCCACATACAATGCATTTTTCAACTTCTGCATTTTGATTTAATTTCCCTTTTAACTCTTTTACCATAGTAGAGTATTTGCTAATTTTTGCATTTGCTGTATCTTCTCGAAGATCTGATGATTTCAATTCTTGCTGAAGTTGTTTTTGACAATCTAAAAGATAAGTAATAGATATTTGGAGTAATCTAAGTAATTTGATCCCTAGAGGATTTGGAATTATTTTAGATTCTGCTGTTGAAAATTTTGCTTTTGTAAAAGCTTTAACAATTTCTTCGAGTCTATCAATATCGTTATTCTCTACAATTGATTCCGGTGAACATTCTGCAATTAAGTTCCAATCCATTCCATCTGCTGATTCTTCAATTTCTGGTTCTTGGATATTTTGTGGTTCTTCTTGAGGAGGTGGCTGTTTTTCGTTTATCATAGGAATGTTATATCCACTAGGAGGTCGATATGCAGGGTTCCATCCTATATGCGAATAGGGTGAATACCCATCCATTAAAAATGAACAAAGTCATATGGCATAATTGATTTGCTTTAACTAGAAAAATAAATTTCATCTATCAAATACTGTTTATCTAATTAAAACGGATTTGATATTGCAATAATATTCAAAACTGGTATACAGAATCTGTTTATCCTACTTTTGAGTTTTAACGAGTTTGGTCGAAAATTCTTATTAAAAATATGCGAAATATGAAAATAATATGGAATATTGAAAGTAGGTATCAATGAAAATCAACACAACGAAATACACAAAAATGCAAGAATATGGAGTGGCTAATTATATTGTAGATGAGTTAAAAATAATAGATAAAAATCGCATAAATAGAGGATGTGCCAATATGTTTGAAGATCACAAGTTCTTACACTGCATCTTCCTCTTGTAGTTCGTTAAATATATTCAATTATATCTAGAGAATATTCATATGACACTAATATTTTTGAACGATTCATGAGTGAATATTGAAATTTATTCACAAAATACATTATGCAACACATAATGATAACTTTCGATAAGGATGTTAATTTGGAAGAAAAGTGAGAAAATTCCTAAAATGCTAAAAATGAATTTTCCAAACGTACTTTTTTATCTCATTTTTTTGATTTTGAAAAAAATTTGGAGAGAAGAACTCTTCGTTTTTGAATTTTATCACGATGGTTTTAAAGTATATTAGACACATGTATTGATATTACTATTTTTGTATATTTTGAGAGAAAATCCCTAAAAATTGAGAAAATCTAAGACGGTTTGAGAAAATATATAAACTATTGAAAATTTGAATTAAACTTCTAATTTGGAAAAAAGAAATTTGGAAAGAAGAAAAATCAAAAATCGAGATTTAGACTCAGCATCAAATGGAGAACAAAATGTTTCTTCATATGAAGGAAAAAATTTTCTTGTGAACAAATAGAGTTTTTAAAATTTTATTGTATGTAATGAAATAAACAAATATTAAAATTATTTTTTGATAACAAGAAAATTCCCAACAGAAAATATTTGAGACAAAGAAAAAAAGAAAATTGAAAAATATTACTCTCCTTTACATTTCATGAGATTTTAAATTTATTCTCATAAAATTGACAATTTTATACGTTTAGATGAAAATAATTGATTTTGCTTGAAATAAAAATTATTGTTTGCTTACAGCTATCAAATAGATTTTTGCTATTTTGATTAAAATTTGTTAATCAAATTAATAAATTTTTTGTAAATATCTTAAATATCTGGATCACTCACTGATACGATGAATTAAACGATAAAAATAATACAAACTCAACTAAGTTTCCTGTCTTTCAACCAAAAAATATTATGCAATTTAAATTAAATTGTTTATTCAAAGATAAAACAAAGATAAAGTAATTATAATTATCATATACTTTATGAATAACTCTCTAATTGGATAAGATTTTCGTAAAAATATTTTTATTAATATCGATAAGAATATGTTTACCTACTATCACCATATGTCGATAAACGAGAGTAGAGTGATTTTTATCATCGAAACTTTTTAAAAGCTGTAAGCAGGAAGTAATAATCTTGTTTTTTCTGAGTTAGTTGTAGAACTATTGATGCCCGAGTTATCATTGTGATGCAGAAGGATATCAATGTACTGACTGAAGGATATGAATTGAATTTTATTGAATTTCAATTTGATCAAAATATGTTGAAATGATATGAATGTGTCAACTTCTGTATCATTCTCCTTCACTCCTTCCTTATTCTTTCGAGAACGAAGCTAGCTCAGCTTTCGCTGAGCGAATTGACACTTTTGATGCCCTAAACGTACATACTCTCAAATTTATCCAAAAAATTAATACCACCTAAACTAGTATATTCTTATTTTAAATATGATATTATCCTTATATTCCACACTAAAATTCATTTAAATCAACTTTTTAAAAAAGTTCGAATCCTGCGCGTCTCACTTTTTAAATTTTCCAAATGGAAAATTATATTCTCCTAAAGTGAAAACAATTTTCCAAATTGACTTCCTTACTTTCGAATCAAGTGCATCAACCAGATAGCAAATTTTGTTGATGGACCTATAGAATTTGGACGATAATTGTAAATCTCTCGAATTTTTGGTCGATTAAAAATTATATTTCAAAAGAAATGTCGACAAGAAAACAATATACACCGCAAGAAATTATCGCCAGATTTACCGAATGTCCACCGCCTCCCTTTTTTGAAGCATTTGGACCACTTCAATCAAAGAGACAATACAAACCATTAAATTATTTTGACAAACTCAGTAGCAATCCAGAAAAAAATAACGACAATAATCTAGATTTCTTAGAACATGAGCTTCAAACATCAAATGAGCAAAGAACAATCAGTTTTGAATCGATCCTCAATCATTCAACTCCACAAAACAAAAACAAGCCTGTCCACTCACCTCCACCAGGTTTCAATCCACAACCAGCCAATATACCTGTTTTTGCTCCACAAAGAACCACTTCACCTGTTCCGGAAGCAGTTTTAAACATCAATGGCACAGAGAATACAGTACCAGAACCTGTTTTCACACCAAAGAGAAACGAGTCTCCTGTACCAGAACCTGTCTTTGCTCCAAAGAAATCCGAAAATATTCCACAAGAACCAGTCTTTGCACCAAAGAAAACAGAAACACCAGTATCAGAACCAGTATTTGCACCAAATAAATCCGAAAATATCGTACCTGAACCTGTTTTTGCACCACAACGCAATCAAAATACAAATAATGAACCAAAATTTACACCAAAACCAGCTCCAGCGCCACAACAAGAATCTGCACCATCATTCAGACCACAAAAACAAAATTACAACAACAATAATAAATTTGCTTCATATTTTCCTTCCCAGAACAATAATCCAGAACCTTCATTCGCTCCAAAGAAGAAAGAAGACACTCCATTTGTTCCAAACTTCAATGAAGCACCTCGCATCGAGACATTCGACCAAGTCATCAATTCCGATCCCTCTCTTCCACCAGGCTTCAACGCTCTGCCAGTCATAGACCAGCCTCAATCAACCAAGTCAGATGTCGTTTCTTTCGACAAGATCTACGAGAAGCAAATGGCCGACCATCCAGACCAAATTGGCAATTTCATGCCAAAACCAGAGCCACAGGAAGAAGAGCCAGTCATTCCCACATTCGCTCCATCCACGGCCAAGAAGACATTCAACCCTCCAACATACGAGAGTCCACAATCAGAGAAGAGACACAAGAAGAGGGAACAACTTGCATCATTCGATTCCATTTTGAACGAAGAGAAGAAGAAAGAAGAAAAGACGAAAACAGAGTTCATCACTCCAATTCCAGGTGTTCCTCAATTTGCAGACATAGAGCGTGAGACAATGGAGAGATCCCCACAGAAGACATTCACTCCTAGATACACATTGCCTGAAGAGGAGAAGAAAGAAGTTCCGATGCCTTCTTTCGGTCCTTCGAAGAATTCAAAGAATATTCCTTACTACGCAACATTGGACGAAGTTGAGGAGGCAAAGAAGAAAGAGGCGCAGGCAAAGAGACCGAAGTACTCACAGATATCAGTACAAGAAGAGAAGCCACAGAAAGCAAAGGGATTCTCATTCGACACTCTCATGGAAGATGAACAAAAGAAATCTAAAAAAGAAAAATCTCAAAAACAAAAAGTGACAAATGGATTTTCATTTGAAGCATTATTAGACGAGGAAGAACGTAAAGAATCCAAGCAACAGAAGCCTCAACCAGGTAAGCTACAGCTTGTTGACGAAGTTGTTGAGCCAGAATTGTCATTTGCTCCGAAATCATCAACAAACAACCCATTTGATGGTCCTTTCCAACAGGAAGAGAAGAAGAAGGGCAACCAATGGGCAGAACCACCGTCAGTCGATGACATCCAGACAAAGACAAACGCTTGGAAGTCCCCTGAAGTACAGAACATTAAACCAGAAGAAGAAAAAGTTCAGCAGCAACCTGAGAAAAAGAAGAAAAAGAAATTCCAAGTATATGTCCCTCCTGAGCAGTTGCAGCCACAACAACAACAGAAGAAGTTCAACGGTCCTTCATTCGATGACCTCTTGAATGCAGAAGAGGAGAAGCAGAAGAAGATAAAGGAAAAACAGCAGCAAACACAGAGAGCTTCTGCTGCTCCAACTCTTAGTTACGATGAACCAACATTTAATCCGAAATCAAAGGGCGGAAAACCTGGAATTCCAAGGCCAGGAAACAGTTCAAAAGGTTTCTCTTTCGCAGCATTGATGGAGGAGGAACAGAAGAAGAATCCAGATCCAAAACCAACGACATTGTCTTACAAACCAGGAACAGTTGTCACTTCGATGTACGGAAAGTCATTCGACCAGTTGATGGAAGATGAAGCACAGAGAGAAGCTCAACTCGAACAGCAATCAGCATTCGATGATGAAAGGAATTTGCCACCGCTAGTGTTCGAAAATCCAAACAAGAAGGAGAAGAAGAAGCCAAAGAGCAGATTCACTGATCATGATATGTTCTGGGGATCAGTTGATACTGATTAAATTTCACTTTGGATAGATAATAAAATTTATATTATTGTTGTAGAACTTTTTTTTATTTTTTTTTATTGATGACATCAGTAAATGACTTATTTTAATAACAAAAATTTCAATCTTTGTTAAAAAAATTATCAGCATAAAGATTGAAATTTACATACTGGCTAAATTTGTATGACTTATCTTCTGATTGGGAAATCACATGCGATTTGGATGTTGGTCTATTTTTGAATTATTCAATAAAAATACATTGTAAAATGATAAATGATAGGATCAATGATATAGAAAATAAGATTCAAGGTGCAGATTAGGGGATTATGATACTCATTGTTTGGTAAAGTATAAAAATATCAAATAATATTCAAAATTTTTCTATTTGATGCATATTCTTTAAATACATCTCATAGTTAATTAATGTTGCTTGCCTAAATCAAAAAGCAGCAAAATAAAAATTCCAAATTTTTTTCAAAAATTAGAAAATGAAATGAATTTTATACTTTTTAATAATAGAAAACCAAAAACTTGATTTTTTTGAAATAGAAAATGTTTTATTTTTCATTCAAAACCATTTTTGCTTGAAAGCTATGCGAAATCGCTCAATTCGAGTTGATTATTATTTTTCAATTCTCTCATTTTTTAATATTATACGAGATTTCTTTCTTGAATAGATCCTTCTCACTAATTTAAATCATCTAGTTTCTAAATCTTTATCATTTCTGTTTATCATTCATACAAATTTTATAATTTGTGTAGAAAGTGTACGTTTAAAAAATGTTTGGGGGCGAAGTTTCGCCAACATTAAGAGACTTATGCGAGAAAATCAAGGATAAGAAAGTTGAGATGGACGCTCATATTTATAATTTGCAAGATGAAAATACGAAAAAGACAAAAGAACTTCAGATGAAAATTCAATCTCTTCGAGAAGAAGAAGAAAAACTCAAAAATAGTGACAAAATTAGTTCAAATTCACAGAAACTTGAAATAGAAAAGTTAAAGCAAGCAAAAGAAGAATTAATCAAGAAAAGGCAATTTTTAAAGAATCGCGTTGAAGAATTAGAGAGTATCGTTCAGAAACAAGAAGAAACTAAGAATTCAACAGAAGATCCAGCAGCAGCACTTACTCTTTATAAATCGATAGCACCAATAACAATTTCTTCAGCAAACCAAAATCAAATTAGCGGTATGATTGCATATGGAACTATCGATTCAACATGTTTCTTCTCTTACAATATGGATGATTTGACCCAAAATCAGAATGATTTGTGGAGTAAGATAGATGAGAATCGGAAGAAAGCTCAGTTATAATTAAAAATTTGTTTGTTGTTTTACCATTCATTACTTTTTACAAAAACTTTATGGATTAATATTATTACATATTAATAACGTTTATGCAACTAATACTAACATTCATTACATATCTTAGCATACTAAGAGAATAAAAAAACAGTAAATATATAAACAAACATATTTATTCCAATTTTGTGTAATAAGACAATCAATTAAGATTGTGATTTAAATTGTAGTGATAGATGATGTATATGATTTTGGTGAATTGATATACTTGAAATTTAAAACGTCTTAAAACTAAAAACGTGGTTGGCATTTGGCTGGGTAACTTGTTTGTTAAAGTCATAGTAATCCATACAAATAGCTCTTAGCTCCTTTGCAAGAAGAAATTGTGTTGCATGTTCGTTATACCACTGGAAAATCATAGATAATACGATTTCTTTATTTTCTGACTGTGGGTAATAGCGACGGATATCTTCAAAAAGAATTATTTGATTATCAGGAGAGAGTTTGTCCATTAGACTAGATTTTTAAACGATTATTTTCAATTCAAAAATCACAGCTTCTAATATCCTCTTATCCCAATCAATTCTACACATGATAGCCCTAAAGGAACAATATCTATGATATAATTAAGCAGAATATTAATATAGTTATTACAATAGCTTTATTTTTTCGAATCAAATTGAAAAATTTGTTGGAATTAAACAGAATAGATAAATACAAACATTTATAATATAATTACATACAATAAAAACATATAAACTACTTAAGCTGAAGTCGAATCTGGCGAATATTACTTCAAATTGTTCTCATATCGCCCATCATGAACTCATTCTTCATGCTGTAGTATGAAAACAGTGGCAAAAGTACTCTTTCAAGATAAATCAACTCTCTTTTCTGGTTTGCAAAAGCTGAAGGATCAAAAGGCGAAACTAACCAAGGCTCTGCACGACTAAGGATACTTAGAGACTTTCCAACGAATACCTTTGCTTCATCTGACTTTTCCCAGCCCTTATCTGAAATAAATCTAACTCTTGCAATAACTTCGAGTTCTTGTTCCATTTTCGGGCCAATTGAGTAATAGGAAAATAGGCGAGCGATATGCTTTGCACGATCAATGCTTAATCCATTTCCAATTCCGAAATTAGAATTAAAAACTGCGGCAACGTAAGGAGCTCCATAAAGGCTTGAATTTGAGCATAAATCTATTAGGTAATCATCTGCCTTAATTCTCCAAAAGTTTTCAAGCCCATTCAAGAACAATAAAATCATAATCACAGATTTATCATCATCTGAGAACCAGTTGTAGACAGAAAGCTTGGATAAAATGGATTTAACAAATTTCATCTTTTTGAGGTTAACATTGATGTCATAATTGTTAGTTTTGAAGAAAGATAAAATTATTTTTATCCAATTCATCAATTTTGTATTATCGCACTTGAAAATTTGGACATAATCAATTATACTATTGAACACCTCTGATGGAACTTCTCTTACTGAGCTCCTTGATGATAATGCGAAAGATAAATAATCTTTGTACGATTCAAGAACACTTTTTGAGACATCATCCTCAATAACTTCATCACATTCGATTGATGCTTCGATTCCTCGCTTCGTTTCTATCAAAATATGGAAAGGTTTTTCGGATTTAAAATCTTTTTCAGAAATTGGAGGAGAATACTCCTTGTAAATGAGGTTATAGTCAATTAAATCTGATATAGAGTCAATAGAAATCCTCAATGACCATCTAAGATATGTTTGTCTATGTATCATATCATTAAATTGAATTTCCATTAAAGCCCAAGGGAATAAAACGATCGTAGCGTTACCCAAATACACCAGTAATCGTTCATCAATAGAGCTGTAGTCCGAAATACCACTAAAAATGCAATATGAAGTAGTTGAAGTTGATGGAATAACAAAAATCTCATTTTGCTCATCAATTTGCATGTGGGTTGGTTCTGTTATACCTGATATCTCTTCTGGACACTCACTCATTACATTTGAAGGGAAAACATAATAATTATTTTCTTCAATCAATGAAATCACTTCAACTTTCACTCCTTTTATGCCTGTTTCTTCGGCAACAACTTCTATAAGCTTGGAGTCTTGTACAGCTTGCACTAAACGTGGTATTCTCGTTAAAAAGTTCTCCATTAAATCTTTTTGAGTTGAATCTAAGTTATAATTCTGTTCTACAGCTCTTCTCTTAAGAAATTCTTCAATGGGATATGGTGTGGCATTTATCAAGTGCTCAACCATTGATCTGACTTGAATTTTGTAAGAATTCGAATCATTTGCGTTATAACTTATGACAAAGAGGTCTTTAAATGGTATTTTAATGATATGCAGAACGGTTATAATACTAAGAGATGTATCATCATCGATTTCTTTAACAAAACCTTTTTGTAATCTTGGCAATCTGATTAAAGTGGAATCTCCCTTTTCTGCGGCCGCTCTTATCAATGATTTGTCTTGTGGAAGTATGGGAACATCAGGGAACTCTTCAGATCTCTTTAAAGTCATAACTTTTGTTTTGACAGAATTTAATGTTGACTGCACAACTTGTTCTATTGATTTAATGATATCTTTAGCTTCATACAATGATGATATATCAAGTAAGATTTTCGACATCATTGAAGGAGTCAACGCATTAAAAATTGTTCCAAAAGTATGCAAAGCAGGGGTTGTATACTGTATAACTATCTGCATAATGGCCATATCTGATTCAGTGAACTGATCATTGAAAAGTAAAACTAATTCATCTTCGATATTGTCGCCAAAAGAAAATCTCATTGATAAACAAGCTCTGTCATCTTTGAAAATGCACCTTTCCTCACTCCTTTGGATCTTATCGCTCGCTAGGGGTTGAGAAGTAACTGTAGGGCCTTCACAGTGTAGGAGATGGCCAACTAAAGTGTTGTTTATTTGTAATAAATTATTTCGTTCGGAAGTTTGATATAATAGGTCGCCATCTCCTGTATTAAATAGTATAACAATGTCTTTGAAGCCTAGTGTTTCACCAATTTTCCTTCTGGATTCTTCAAAAAACGTCAAAAAATCTTTGAAATCGGCGTAAGGGTCAGATAATTGACGTTGGAGTACACTATTCAATGAAAGTTTTGATAGAATTGGTAGTAATCCTTCTAAAAATTTATTACAACGTAATAATTTTGTGAGAATTGAACTGAAAAACGCCATTCTAATATCTGGAGACGTACGAAGTATTGCATTGTGTAGTTGATCATCAAAAATAGTTTGGTTCCCAAAAATAAGCTTTTCTACAACAGATGAATTATTTAAAAACTTTTATACATCAGATGGTGATACAGATTCCATTTTTGTAAGTAAGTGAATGAGCTCGTTACTTGTTTTGGTATCTATTTCAGGAATTGGAAGCGATAGTGGTTTTTCAACTTTTTGATGAACAATTGGCGGTCCATAGTTATCGCAAACTGTTTTATTGATGAGCATGGCAAATTGCTGATATACTTTTCGTAAATATGCTAACTTTTCTCGATTTTTATTAATTCATTTTTGAACTCCAAGGAGTTCTTGCTTAAAATATTCGACATTTGCTTCATTGTTACTGTCTGCTATCTTTTGCAGCTCTTCATCTTCCTCATAATCGTCATTATCCATGAGATCCATATTAATCCGCTGCATGAGATGTCACTTTTCTCGTTTTTTGTCAAAATAAATTTCTACCACCTTCCTGGTCCCCAAAGGACTAAGGATTCGGTAACTACTCGAGCAGGGCAAGGTTATTCCTTGATCTCTCATTCTATTGGAAGATCTTGGAAGAACCTTGCCTTAAATTACTGAATTACTGTTCCCTGGTTTTCAAAGAGCCAGGGATTATGTAGATGATCTAATAAGGCAGAGTTTCTCCGAAGTCTTACATCAAACGAGAGACTTCGGAAAAACTCTGTCCTAGTTCAATTTAGTTGTTGTACCCTGCCAGCAAAGAGCGAGAGAACTTGTCTGTAATTCATTTATGCTGAAGTTATCTGTATGTCTCTCAAATGAGAGAGGAAATACAGATAACTTCAGCATAAGTTAATGCAGATGTGATTCTCTGGCTCTTTGCCGGCCAGAGAATGAATAAAGAGTTTATTGGATGATTAGGCTCGATGCATGCCCACTCACTACAAATATATATTTCCTATGAGAAAATAGTTTTTCATTTTTATTAATTTTTAAAGGTTGATATACCAGTTTCTGACATGCTCGCATAATATCAATGGGAGTGTTCACTCATACTCTAGGTAAAATCTTATATCACCTTTTGCAACAGTGTGTGCAGTTTCTCCTTCAAAATTCTTTGCGTCTTTATCAGCTAAAAAGCTAAGATATTTAACAAGTTCAAGATAGTCATAATATTGATGCATATATGAGTGGAGTATATCCATTATTATCCTTTGCTTCTTTATTACAGTTGATAAGTGATTTGACAAGTCCGAGATTTCCTTTCTTGCATGCTATATGAAGTACATTATTTTTAGTGTATTTCTTTGTCTTCTTTTCCCAAAGACCTTCTTCACTTGCTTTTTGAATCATTTCTTGATTTCTTCTAGAAGAAAGTTCCTCAAAGAATATGTAAACACATTCAAAATCACTAGATTCCTTAAGTTCTGCGATTTTGGTTAAAGGTTCTCTCGAAAAACTGTTGTTTTCGTTAATTGATTGACATATGCTTCTTTGGCCGAATTTTGTATTTGATCTTGAATTTCTTTTAGTTCTTCTTGATGTTTTTGAATTTCTTCTCTTGAATCATGTGGTTCTTTCTCTTTTTCATCTAAAATGCCAATGATACCGTTGAATATTTTGAATTTCATGTATTTTTTGATAGATTTCAGTGTTGAAATAAACTCTTCCATGTTTTGGATAATAACATGCGCATTTCGTGTGAAGATATATAATTTATTGGCACTAATAGTTGTATGAGATTGTTTGAGAAGAGTAATGTACTGGTCTGCAGTTAATTTTGAATATTTCATGATTTTTTTGATATCTTCTATGTCAAATGTATCAAAGAAGTTTTCTAATGTAATATAATCGCTGATATGAGCAGCAATGCATTCGTAATTCAGATTCATGTCCTGAATAAAAAAAATATGATTTTTTCTTAAAAAAAAGCAAAATTTGGAGCTTGGTTTTGGGGGACTTTTTATGTAAGTGTATTTTCAACTCCCTTAGAAATTCAAGTGGCAAATTTGTCATTTTACAATTGTAAACTGTATAACATTACAATGTCAATTTTTGTATGATGGACCGCTCTCCGTTCCAATTCACTCGCTAATATAATTTAGAAATAACATCATGAACGTGTTGTTTTTATACTCCGAAAATGTTTATTGGTAAATGTGATAAAATAAAATAATCGTACCTGTAGAATCAGTTTGAATACTTCAGAATACAACATTATCAATGCTAGCTATCAGCAACATTTTTATTAACTTTCATGATAAAGTACGATTAAAAACTCAATTCAATTATATCCTTAATTCATATGCTCATTCATTCGCTCCTTTTATACAAACAAACAATGTCAGGATCAAATGTTACAGAATATAGACTCGGAACATTTAAGTTTTCAAATGAAGGGTATATGTTTTTCAATTTTAGTCATTTCAAACCTTCATTCATGCAGTACAAACTTTCATTTTGCAAAGTACATCTATGCTTATTTACAAATGATTGTCAAAACTATTCAAAACAGATTTATCCAGGGAATTCATATTTCTATTTCACGCCAAAAGAAGGAATTTACCAAATTAAATTATTTCCTGTAGTTTATGATATAATTTCTCAAGAAGAATTTACAGCCGTATTCAAAAATGGCGCGTTTTTTATGATATTAGAGATGTTTATTTGATAGGAATACAATTACTACTAATAGCCATGGATTTGGTCCTCCTTATAGTCTATATGAGCCAACTTACAGGCCATTTTAATTTCACGCAAAAATTCATTTTATATTCGGGAATTCTTGTTTTGTTATTATATTCAATTATATGCATGCGCTATATATTTATGATGTTCAGCGGAATTGATATATTTCCAAAAAGATTTTCTATGATTTTGCACTCGATTGCTTATATTACAATTTTATCGGCTCTCACAATGTTTGCATTGACAATTTCATATTCAGGTTTAATGCCAACATGCTGTGAGAAAGTTAAATACATAATGCCATACATTTTAGTTTTAACCTTCATTATTTCCACTCAATTATCATATAAAATTGAATGGTTATCTACAGCATTTGCTGTAATAATAACCGCACTGTTACTTGTTTCTGTTACTCTTCTTAGGCTTAAATCGAGATATGATTTTATCAAAACATTTAATACAGAGTGGCCTGAAGAGATTAAAGAGCTCTCATATGGAGGGCTAGTTGCATTATATATCATATCAATCGTGTATGACATATTTCATATATTGAGTCTTTATATAGATGATTTTTTTCATGTTTACGTGACTGTTGTTGATGTTGCCTTTTCCATAGGCTTATTTTCAGTAATTGTTTTCTCCAATCATAGGTTGGACCTGATTGTTCTTGCAGGAGAGGATCTTCCTCAAGTTTAAATTACTATTTTTTTTGTTTGTAAATTGTTATGTATATGCTATTTAAATGAATATATTTTTCAATACTATCTCGAAGATAGGACTTTAGTGCTTTACTTTATGAAAATTTCACAATATGAATGATCTGTGAAAATTTCTGAAATGAATTTGGGAACAATATAAGTTAAAACATGATAAATGTAATCAAACATTACAAAATAGGACATAGGATTTGATGAATTTTAGAGTGACAATTTTAAAAATTCTGCATTGAGAAAAATACTTAATGATACTTTCTTGGATGTATACAAACACTTTATATATGAGTAATAGTAATAAATATTCATTCAAAATGAAATAAAAAGTAGATATATTATTCAATTACCAAAATATCAAATAAATGAGATGTAATCGGAAGTTCTTCGTCACTATTTTCAAAATAGTCAGATATTTCTTCATATATCCCCGATTCTTTTATAATATCATCAAACGGCCTTTCGGTATCATTTGGATCTTCAATTAAAGCCAATATCATAGATGAAATCTTTTCAACAGATGTTGGCATAGCTTCATCTATTGAGGAACTGAGGCGATCAAAGAAATCCGGGGTGCAAACTTTTAATCTGTAATCAAGAGGGGCAATAATGATATATTCGCATAAAACATAAAGTATTGGAATCAATCCTTGATAAGATACAGTATTCAACATTTGAACAAATGGTTCAATTAGATAATCATAGAGAATATCTCCATATTCAACGATCAAATCATATATAATATTGCATATAGTTGGAATGTAAATATCCTGTTTCTCTCCTAATATGTCTTTTTGCATTATCATATAAAATTTTTCATTGATTACGATTCTCGAAGTTTGATGATTCTCAATCCTCCATTTTATCAGAATTTCAGCTAACAAATATATATTTTCTGAGATTCGAGAATCATGATTTGATAATAAATCTAAAATTTGACTTTCTATTCCAATTGATATCAAATATTCAGCAATTTCACCTTTGTGAGCTAGAATTGCAAGAATTGGTGGATATAAATCGGAACTTTCACATTTAATTCTTTCGGTCACATAATCCGCAACTAAATGAACAATTTGGTCAAAAAAAAAAAAAAAAAAAAAAAGGTATTGGGGCTTCCAGGCACTTCGTGCCTTCTAGCCCTGAAGATGTTTAGTATAAATGAAGTTTTATTCGAAGGGCTTCCAGGCGCGTTGCGCCCTCTAGCCCATAAGAAATTTTGCCCAAGACCCAAGAGGAGGACCGAACCCCAGCCGGTGACACTTTTTGTTTCACTTTTCACAAATTATATATGTTTTCATGTTTTGTCAAGACTTCTTCGTAATGAGTGTAAAGGACCAAAAAATAATGTTTAGGGTAGAAGGTTAGATCTAACCTCTTTTCTAACCTCTTTTCTAACCTAGCCGCTTTGCGGCTCTGACCCTTTGGGTCTCTTGAATTTTCATGACTTCTTCGTAAATGTTTTGTCAAGACTTCTTCGTAATGAGTGTAAAGGACCAAAAAATAATGTTTAGGGTAGAAGGTTAGATCTAACCTCTTTTCTAACCTCTTGAATTTTCATGACTTCTTCGTATATATGCTTTTTAACTTCACTTAAAATGCCACGTAAGCTACGTAAGAATATACGTAAGAGGAAGAGAGCATTGAAACATCCAATAGTAAAACTGACACCACAACAACAACTGCAACAACAAATGATGAATGACCCCACTATGTTGCAACAAATGTCAAGCAACCCTATGCTTTTAAACCGAGTTATAGGTGCACAGAGTGGAGGTTTAAGAGCGGCACTTTTAGCGAAAATGGCAGGCTATGGTGGAGCTGCAGACGGAACAGCTTATAACCCTCAAAGTCAAATGAATTTGAGTTCACTCAAAAATCAAATAACAGATGTCAAAAAGTCAAACATAGACATACAGAAACAAATAAGTGAAAACGAAAAGAAACTAGAATATGACAGACACACAAAGAAACTCAATGAGTTAAACGTAGAGAAAAAGAAGAAAGAAGAACAACTGAAAGAACTAAGTACAGAGGAATATGCGAAAAAAGTGTCAGAAAAAGCAACAGAAGTAGCAAAAATGGAACAAGATGTTATAAATTTGAAAAACCATACTACTCAATATAAAGTACTGAAAGATGAAGAAATAAAACAAAAAGCCCTGAAGACATATATGGATAGCGATGAGTATAAAAAAGAAGTTGAAGCAAATGTAAAGGCAGAAAAACTTTTACAGTTGCAAAACCAAACCGTACAGTATGAAAACTTAGCACAAGAAAGTAAAAATAACGACACAGCCATGCAAAAGGCAATGAAAAGCGCAGAATATATAAAAGCTAATAATGACTGGTTAGATGCCCAGGCCAACGCTAAAGCAGCCCAACTTATAGGGTCAATAAGGACAAAAATACAAGCGGATGAAGACAGTTCAAATGAAGCTTTAATGAATGCTGACTTTAAGAATGCCTTCGAAGCTCTTCATAGTAAGGTGAAACTAGTGAACGACTTCTCATCTGGAAAGAAACTGAAGTCTGAAGGTTTCGACAAAGAGTTAAGAGAAGTAGCACAAAATATGACGAAAATAACAGATGCAGCAACGAGACAGGCAGTTCAAAGTGCCTATGACGCCGTTAGAGCAACTGTTGTGGAAAGTCAAGAAAAAGAGTTACAAAAGACCAAAACAGACCTAGTAAATGCTTTCTTAAAAACGAAAAGTCAGGTAGGACATTATGCTGCAGATGGAACATATGTGCCAGCTGGTGGAACTTATATACCAGCTGGTGGAACTTATATACCAGCTGGTGGAACTTATATACTAGCTAGTGGAACTTATATACCAGCTGGTGGAACTTTTATACCACCAAACCCTTCAAGAGAAGCACCTGCAGCAGGACTACCTAAAACATTTACATCGTCACATGGACACAGACGCAGGCATGCACAACAACAACAACCAAAACCAACAGTTCAAAACCCTGCACAACCAACACAACAACCAACAGTTCAAAACCCTGCACCTGCACCACAACCAAAACCAGCACAACAACCACAACAACCACCTCCACAACCAGCACAACAACCACCTCCACAACCAGCACAACAACCAGCACAAACAGAGCAAGGACATAAAAGAAGTAGCGAACAAGGAAACCAAGAATTCTTAAAAATGCTTAAGGAAGGTTATGGTTACCCAGATACTCTTGACTTTAGTGACAGATATAAAGAAGCTATTAGAAAGTTCAAGGAAGGAAATACTGACCCGAACCTATTTAGCTTTATGGTTCAGCACCAAATGGGATATAAGCTCAAACCTGGAAAATACAAGCTCGCTAAGGGATATGATTTAATAGCATATCATCCAAATGACATGAATGAATTTACTCCGAGATATTTGGTGTCAGAGCTAAATGATAATTCAACTCTCTTCATGAAACGTGTAAAAAATAGAGACGGAACGAAAGAAGAAAGGGTTATGAATGCGGATGACTTAGAAAGGGAATTTGTTAAAAACGGTCTCGGAATATATGAAATGCCAGCAGATGAGGTACAAGAAACTCCACAGGAAGAAGTTCAGATACAACCAGACATGGAAGAAATAGTTCAGCAACAACAGCTAGAAGAGCCTGAAGGAAACGAACAAGTCACTCCTTTGGAAACTAACTTCACAGAACTAGATGAAGATTTGGAACAGCCGAAAAATCTTGACCCTCAACAAGTGTATGCGGAGAATATGGAATCTTTCCAAGAGTCTAAGAAAAATTCGGCTGACATAGTAGAAGAATATCGAAAAATGTTCGCCGACATACAAAAGACTCCAACATCAGATGAAAATATCCAGCATAGAATGGAAGTACTGAAAGATAATGTACACAAATACAACAATCCTTTTTACTTACGAGCATATAACGTTCAATCTTCGGATGAACTCGGTGAAAATAAAAGGTTAAATTTCAACAAAACATATAGAAATGAAACATTGTTTAAAGTTCATTCAGAACCTAACCAATCTGGAAACAAACCTACTTTTGTTTCTGCAGACTATGGAACTACAATGAGATGGGGTCATAAAGCTAATCCGGATAGGTGGTTCTTAAACTTACAACCACAATTCCAAGAAGTTGTAGACGCAATGGAAGAGAATGGTGAACCAGATATAGCTGGTATTTTCAGCGCGGCTTTAATGCCATTGAAAGATATGAAACATGCAGATATTTTGGACCAGTATGAAATGAACATGGCTGATGGAAATATAACACCTGACGTTCTAGAACATTTATCTCAAAGAACTACACAGAACCATAGAGATGGTATATTTGGTGAAGAGTTTAGAAAGAAAGTTAGGGAGAAAGAAGGAAGAGAACCTATTGTACATGACCTTGCAAACGAAAGTTTGCAAAATGTCATAAAAACTTACTTTGCAGACAATGAATCGAGAAGGGATGAATATTTAAGAAAACTCAAATGGACAGTACCAAATGAAATGTTAGTATTGAAAAACATGTTCCTTGACAAAATAAAACCAACTACAGAAATAAATGACGCAAGACTGGAACATTGGGTAAAAGCTTTCCCATTCACAAAAGATATTATTGGTTACATGGAAAGAAAACCAGAATGGCTACAAAAACATATATTTGGAAACGAGCTTATTCCATATGGACAAGCTCTGTTTGAAGAGCTTGAACCGGAAACTCAGGAAAGAGTCATGCAAACAATACGCGAAGACTCAAATACAAACTATGACAAAATCTTTCTAGGATATAGGTTACCTGAGATGGGCGACCAGAGCCCAAAGGCAAAAAGGACATGGGAAATTTACAACATACTAGGTGAACATGAGGCAAAGATGCAACAAAACTCAGTCAGGAAGAAAGTAAAGCTTGGTACGAGTGGGTTCTATTATGATATATAAATCCAACTATTCTATATTTTTACCCATATGAAATGTACGCCGCTCAGAATATAACGCCAACAGTTTTGGATGCCATGAACGGAAATGTTTCCGAATGGTATAACCGAATGCGACAATGCCATTAGAAGGTCAGAAATAGTTCCTGGAACTTACGAATATACAACTGCTGTTTCTTATGGAAACGTAGGTGAGTTTGGAGAAGGTTCTTCAACAACAGTAGATATTGCTTGCGACAGGTTTCATATTATTTCTCTATTGACAACTCATTCTTATACGTGGAACAAGACATTGAAATAAAACCTTCTGCCAAGTTGTCTGACAAGAAAGGTTGCAATGGAATTTTCTATGTCGGATACCAATATGCTCCAGAAGTTTTTATGGGATATAAGATATATTCTAACTCTGACTTAGTTCAAACAGTAACATGGGCAAACTATGAATGGTTCGCTTTGAGAAACTCAGTACAACCACAAGCTAGAGAACAAACAGACCAGTATGCAACTATTGAGAAAATAAGAAGACTTGACCCTAACGTTCCAGGAGTTTATGTTAACCTTTCTGGACAAACTGCAGCAGCAGTAACCAAAGTAAAACTGAAACTTAGAGTTCCTTTGTCATCTTTCCTCATCTTCAGGTTTTTAAGATACTTGCCAAACTGGGCAGGAAAAATTTCTATTGAACTTACTCCAAGCAAAAATAACTTAGTCATTGCACCAACACAAGACCCATTCACTCTTACAGACGTAACGGGAACAAATAAAACGTCATTCGCCGACTTTTGCAAAGGCAAGGTTGACTTAGACTTTGGTTTCTCAAACCTCAACACTGAAGTAAACTATTATTTCAATGCTGCTGGAGATGCTTGGGACCCAGTTAAGTTCACATGCGAAAAGTTTGAATGCAAGAGAATAGAAAGCAGACTTGCAGTCTATATGTTGGACCCAGATATTTCAAATGCTTTAGCTGCCAAATATATTGCAGTTCCACTTATGTTCCCTATACACCAAATATCTGTCAAAGACTTTGCAGGTGAAGTTGGAAACCAAAGTGCTGACCCAGGTGCAAGAACAGATATTGCTTTAACAACTGCAATGAAACATGCAGATACTCTGTTTGTACTGTTCAGACGAAACTATAAATGACTATTCTTGTTTCTACAACCCTGGTATTAAATATCATATAAACATAGATGGCAAATATTATCCAAGAGAAGAATATTCTACAGTTGAGGATATGAGGTCATACAACTTGACATTAGATGCTATGAACTTTAACAACAACTTCACAACAACCATTAACCCTGAAATGCAAAGTTCTATTATGCCATATGTGAAAGTATGGACTCATACAGGAAGTCAAAAAACTCAATATACAAATGGAGACCGTTCAAACTTTTGGCTTGGCATTCCATTTGCTGACTCAGAAGACTTTATGGGTGGTATTTCAACTGTTGGTACTGTACAAATACAATATACTGGTGACAGAGACGGTCCAGATGAATTGAGAGCAAAGAAGTTTACAAAACCAATAGCACTTTTCACGGAAGATGCTCTTTTGAAGATTCGTTCGATGAAACCTGCTGGGGCTCCTCAGATTGGCATAACGACAGCTTCCATCGAGCAGATTTTGGCAGCAGGTCAGTAAGTTGTTCTTGAACTGACTTCTCTCCGTCAAATATTGACAGTACGCCAGTTTTGACATAATATTGTATTATAAACTTTCCTTTAGAAATATCGGTCAGTTTTGAAGTTATATTTTTGTCTGCTTCAAGAACTTTCACCATTTCAGTTATACCAACTTTCTTTGCTTTATGAAAATATTTTGGTTCAGCAAAGACTGCTATTCTATAACATTTTCCATTGTTTGTGTAAAGAACTATTCTGTCAATGTATTTGTATTGTTTGTGAGTATAAACTTTGTTCTGCTTCAATTCAATAAGATATCCGAATACGTCCATCTTTTTATTCTAAGTAAAATGTCATTTCCGAAAAATAGAAGCGTAAGTGTTTCAAAAGGTTTAATGGCGGTGGCAGATGTGAAGTTAAATTCACCAACTCAAACAAACAGTCAAAGTGTTATTGTCAATGTCAAAGACAGAGATGTTGAAATGGGGAAACCATACGAAGACGAAGATGGTATAACAATAGTTCCTGTAAAAGAACAACCAACATACCCTGAAGTTAGCAGAGACTTAAGTTCTGTTGCAGATATTCGAAACGACTACCAACAACTGAAAGACAAACTTCAAACTCAGGAGAAGATTTGTCAAGCTTTAAGTATAATGTTAAACTTGGTCGAACACAACCCTGTAAAAGTGAACTCATATGTCATTGCACCTCATGAAGTTTTGAAAGAACTATTGAAACTTTTGACAGAGGCAGACGATATAAACATCAAAGAAATAGAACCCGACATTAGTTGCTGTGGTGTTTCATATAATGCCATTGACAAGATATACGTTATGAAAGGAGGTGAAACGTTGAACTTAAAATATAGTTTCCCAGACGTTATAAAATATTTGACGACCACAACATTTCATTAAAGTTTATTTGCTAAGTAAAAATGTCAAAACTTCTTGAAAGATGTTTGAAGAAAAATAATATAGACTTTATTTCATGTAAAGGACTTTACACACTTTTGAACGATATGAAAGACCCTGTTTTGTTTGTTCGTGTAGACAAAGGAAAGTTCTATGTCTTTACAAAATATTTGAACTTCTTAGACAGAGAACTTCAAGAAACGCCATGTGAAAGTTTAGATGAAGTTCTTCTCCACTTTCAGAAAAACTTTTAAATATATATAAATGGCAGAAGACATAATGGTTTATACTATTACGACTCAAAACCCTGAGTCATATAATTCTATAACAACAAACTTACAAAGTCCTCAAGGACGATATTGTAAACTAACCTTAAACACAATGACGACTAAAGCCTGTTTTGCTCTTTTGACACCAGAAGACTTTATTGTTGTGAATGGTAAAAAATACTCCTTTGAAGATACTTACTCAGATATACCACCAACAGGTTTTGTTGACTTATTTAATACTTTACGTACGAGTGTAACATGTGCTGCAACTAGAGCAGGTTTCATTATGTTTGGATGTCCGACTGAGTTTACTATAAACGATATGAGCTATAATACAAAACTTATTTCTGGTTTTTACTACCAACAGTTTCCTATAACAGGAAAAGGTGTCATACAAGGAATGTCTATTCCATTGACATTAAGCACACCAATCTTATATATTGTTTCAAACTTAGGTTCAAAGTGTTATTCGAATGTCGACAGAAACTATTATGACCAAAAGATACTTATGCGTATAAACAATACTTTCTCTGCTGGTTTGCCTATTGTTCATTCGAATGCAGAATTTTCAACCTTAGTGAACTCAAACACTTTGGCAAGTATAACGTTGACATTAGTTGACGCAAACTTTGTTCCTGTAAAACTTTTATGTCCTATGTATTTGTCAATGACGGCAGAAAGTTTCGAATTGGAAGATGCAACTGGTGAAAGTATTGTATTACAAGAACAACTTCAACAACAAATAGCTCAAGAACAACAAATGCAACAAATGCAACAACAAAGTCAAGAATAAAAAAATATTATTTTTTTATTTTTATAAAAATGTACAGAATAGATGTTTCAGATTTTTATGACTTCCAAGCATTCAGAAATATGTGTCCATTTCGAGACTATAACAAAGCAGTCGAGAATTTGAAACGTTTAGTCATTTATGTTGACTCTGCCCCAGAATGTTATGTTATGAAAGAATGGGATGTTGTCTTTAACAAACCAAGAGCAACAATAGTGTCTGAACAAGAATGTAGACAGAAACTTAAGAAAATAAAAGTCGTACAAGTTGGCATGAAGATGTTAGATGCTTGGGATATCTTATTGTCAAAGTTAGAAGATTTTTCAGTTCGAGGTATAAAGTTCTATACACCTTCTCCAAACTTCTATTCTATCTTCACTGGATATAAATATGAACAAGTAGAATGGAAAGAAAATATTATAGAAGCTTGGTTAGACCATGTCAAAGAAATTATATGCAATGGAAACGAAAAGGTTTATGAGTATATCTTATGTTGGTTTGCAAATATCTTACAACATCCAAGTGCTAAAAATGAAACTGCTCTCATTATAATTGGAAAACAAGGAACAGGTAAGAACACATTCTTTACAGATATCTTATGCAAACTGTTAGAAGGTTATTCGAACCCTAATATGACAAACTTAGAAAACATCTGTGGCAAGTTTAACTCCTCAATAGAGAATATGAAACTTATAGTTTGCAATGAACTTCAAAGTATAGATACAACAAAAGTTTTGAACTCAGATGCTTTGAAGAGTCTTATAACAGATAAAGTTGGAGTTGTTGAAAGAAAGTATAAAGACCAAAGAGTTTGTGAAAATGTTGCAAACTTCATTATGGTTTCAAACAATGTTGTTCCGATGAAGTTAGAAAGTTCTGACAGAAGATATGTAGTTGTCAGAACGTCAGATTCTCATATGCAAGATACAGAATATTTTGACGACTTAGCAGAAACTTTGACATCTGACTTTTACAACCACTTGTTCTCATACTTTATGACATTAGATATTTCTAAGTTCAATCCAAGACAAATTCCACATACCGAAGAGAGACAAACATTGTTAGAAGCAAACAAGAGTGTATATGAACTGTTCATAGATGAAACTGACTTTGTGTCATTAGATGAAAGGTCATTGTACGATTCGTATAAACAATATTGTCAAGAATATGGTTATATGGCAGCTTCTAAACGAACATTCTTGGCAAATGTCAAAAGTCTTTTAGATGTTCAGAATGGTGTATATACAAAGAAAAATTTTTCTGAGTAAATTTTAAAAAAATTTTTTATCCGATAGAAAAGATGACGAAATATATTTCAGTAAACAAGTACATGTCAGGACTTAAAGAAGAACTAGACCCATTCACATATTTGAATGTTTACTTCTACCATTTTGAAAAGTCTTCATTCAGCAAAGTTTGGAACATCGAACCAGTTAAGTTTGCTATTGTGACTAAAAATGGTGCGAAATTTGAAGACTTAGACATAGAAGGTTTGTTAGCAGTCAAAGAAAGTTTTGACAGAAGGTTCTCAAACCTTAAAGAAGGCAAAGCATACAAACTTGTTATACCTTATGAACCAAAGAAAGCAGACGACTATGAATATTATGAGTCTAAGATAGTTGAAGTTCAAGGTAAATTGGGTAAAAAGATTTTAGAGTCTAAGCCAGTGTTTGCCCCTAAAGAGGAAGAGAACATTGACATTGACCCAGAAATGTTCTAAAAATAAAATTTTATTTTTACATGTCAAATTTCTTTTTCTCTGGAACTGGTTCAGGTTCTTTCTTCTCTTCTTCTACTTTCTTTTCTTTCTTTTCTCTCTTCTTCTTTTCTGGTGGTGAGACGTCAAATTTGGCGCAACCATATTTATGTAAAAGTTCTTTGTCCTTTAATAGCTCATCTATTCTGTTTTTTATTTCATCTTCAAGAACAGCGCATGTGTCTTCTTTGCATTCTAAGAAGTTTTGTTGGACTTCATCTCTCCAAGAGGCGTCATCTCTGTCAACAAGTCTGTCATTGACAAATTTTAAGACTTCTCTGCTTAATGTTTTATGGTTCTTGTCATATTCCCAGAAACAGAACTTTAGAACAAATTCACCTTTCTTGTTTACACTATGTAAGATTTTATGGTCGACAGATGTTTTGCTGTCAAAAAGTTTGTCTCGAATATAGATAGCGAAATCGCTAGACATTTTCTAAAAGATAAAAATTTTAATTTTTCTAAAAATATGTTAGAAAAAAAGTTTGCTGACATTGACAAAAAAATTTGAGAATGTTTTGAAGAAGAACAAGAGGAAGTTAGAAAATGCTCAGATAAAGCCTATACATGACAAGTTCTTATTTGCTCAGAATGGTATAACAGGTCTAATTGCACCACCTGGGTCGGGTAAGACTTTCACTTATCTTAAAATGGCTGCACAACAACAAGAACTAGATGAGAAGAACCCATTCTATGAGTTAGTTGTTATTTGTAGTACTTCTGGTCAATTTGACCAAACCGTCAATTCGTTCAAAGATATTATAAAGAAGTCTAAGTTAGTATGTATAAAGGATACTGAGTTGTTAGATTGGATAAAGAAGTACCAAAGAAGAGTTTTGAAGTATAATGCTATAAATGAGTATATAAATTCTAAGTTTAAAGACCCAAATGAGGAAATGCAGAGAATATTAGAGAAGAAACACTTCAGAAACAAACAGAAAGAGATAGAATACATTTCGAAGAAATTGCAATCTTACGATTGGAAGACTTACCCTCACAGATGTCTTCTTATCTTAGATGACTTTGCTTCTCATCCTTTGTTAAAGAACAGAGAACAAGACATGTGTCGAATTCTTAAGAAGCTCAGACACTTTAACATCTCAGTTGTCATTTGTGTACAGACAGCAAAGAGTTTAAGTAAGGATGTTAAAAGAATACTTACTGACATAATACTTTTCCCGGATTGTCCGAAGACGATTTCATGGAACTTATGAAAGAGTCCATGGCAGGTAAGTTTGACAGACATGAACTATGGGAGAAGTATAAAGTCATACAAGACCCTCATACTTCTTTCAGAATTCATATCTACGCAAACAAAGTTCAAATTGTAAAAAGTCAATAAAAATAAAGAGTTCATTTACTCTGCTTGTTTGAAGTTGTCAAAATACTCTGTTATTTTTTCCTTTAACAATGGCAAATCTTCTTTGAATGTAAGTATTGTACAACCTTTCATATCATAGTGTGTTTGAGGTAACGTATCTTGAACTATTTGTTTCACATCTTCATTCGGTGTCATTGAAATCGGTAAGTTTTCGCGATAGAACCAATTTCTGTCAGATTTGTAAATCTTAGCAAGGTCGTAAAAGCTTTTGTTGTTTCTTCTGACTAAATGCAACATAACCATATCTTTATCTTCTTCATTTTCCATCTCTTCAGTATAAATCATATACTTATAGTTCTTTTCCTTTCCTTTTGGTACCGAACGTGGTATTCTTTTCTGAATGCTTTTGTCTTTTGCTTCAATGACTTCATCTTTTGCATGAAGTTTCTTTTCCATCTCTTCACGTTCTTGTCTATGAATTTCGTCAAGAAGTCTGTAAATATACCAAGCATAACGAGGCGAAGCCCACATTGCAACAGCATTTACAAGAAGTCTATGTACATAATATCCTCTCAAACCGTTTGGCAATTTTTCACGATTTTCGAATGGAATCTCTTCCCTCGGTTTTCCGAGGGAAGCAATCATATGAGGAAATTCTTCTAAAAGTTCTTTTGCCTGTTGGTTTTCAAACCAATGATATGCTTGCTTTGTAGAACTAAGAGCAGTCAAAATACTTTGCATTTGGTACATATCGTCTTTGACCGAACGAATGAGACGGAGTTGTTTGTTAAACTGAACCCACTCATATTCTTCATTTATAGCTTCATGGACTATAACTGTTGTTGTGTTCTCGGTTGTTGACATTACTGTTTCTTACATACAAAATAAAAAAATTTGTTAGAAAAAAATTAGCGTTATTTTCTGACTTTCACAAAAGACCAAAAATAAACGCTTTACATGTATTTTTCAGCAACTTCGTCAAATAATTTTATAGCTTTATCTATCTCATCTACTTCAAACGTTTCTTTACCTTTTATGGGAGCACCATATATTTTCTCAAACTTTTCGAGTAGTTCTGTTTCTGCAGCTCTCATATCATTAACAAACACAACCTTGACTCTATTGACTGTACTGTCATATCTTTGAGTTATATTATATGTTCTTCCTATCTTATATCTCTTTGTATTGAAGTCCTTCGGTTTCTGAACGATGTAAAGTAAGCCTTCACTGCAACGTTCTGAGTCGAATAAACCATATGTTATGAAGTTATATCCAACAACTGGGTCTAACCATAACAAAACTATTGGTATAAGACTTTTGTCGATGAGATATGCTGTAGTTCCATAGAATCTTACCGATATCATAAGCTCAGGATTTCTTGTCAAAATTTTCTGAGTTGAAGCATTTCTAACCCAGTCGTGTGGTTTCTTTCCAGATGGAGATATAATGTCTGACAAAGAATATTTGTTGTATTTCTTTGAGTATCTTACGTTTAAATCACCAATTCTAACCACTTTGGTGTCATTGTCTATCTTTCTAACTGTTTCAAACTCAATGTTTGTCATTTTTGTTCTTACATACAAAATAAAAAAATAAAAAAAATAAAACTAACTTTATTTTTTCAAACCAGGAGCCAAATTCTTGCGATTTTCATGAGTTTTATGCAAGACCAGGTTTTTTCCCCTACTCGCTGTTCTTCACGATTTTCATACGGAATCTCTTCTCTCGGAAAACCGAGGGAAGCAAGCATATGAGGAAATTCATGAAATTTGGTCATTTTTCAGCAAAAATAATGTTTAGGGTAGAAGGTTAGATCTAACCTCTTTTCTACCCTCTTTTCTACCCCAGTTATTTTATAAGCGTTTTACATGGTAAACGTTATTTTTAAAATTTTGTGAAAACTCAACGGTTTGACACATGCCCTAAAAATTATTTTACTCAGAATTTTGTTGCTGAATTCAATAAAAATAATGTTTAGGGTAGAAGGTTAGATCTAACCTCTTTTCTAACCTCTTTTCTACCCCAGTTATTTTATAAGCGTTTTACATGGTAAACGTTATGAATTCGTGAGACTCTAAACAATTTCGTAGCTTCTATTTCTTCTGTCAGTACATCGAATGTTTTAACAATGCCGAAAGTTTCTTTATACTTCTTCTTGACGTCAGATAGAAGGAAATCTTCTGCTGTTGGATAGTTTTTGTTCAGAAATGCTAACATGTCCATTTTATCTTCTGCTGGCTTTTCTGCTTCTTTCTTTAAGTCTGCATAGTCGTTTCTCATTCTTTCTATCTCTTTGACGGAGTAGTTATATTTCCTCATTGCTGCTTTACATTTAGAACATTGTGGGTTCATTTTTGCGTTATATTCTGAAACCTTACCTGCTAAAACAACTAAAGCGTCAATGGCTTTCTTTAAATCTGAAGCAGTTGGTTTTATCTGTTCATTCCATACCTTACCTCTTCTATCTTTATCTCTTATTTCCCAAACACATTTTGCAGCTAATGAAACAAAGTTGTCGTAGGTCTTAAACTCCCCGGATTTATATATGTCAGAAACATTCTTATATACCATGTCGCAATCTTTGTCCATAACCTTATGGTTGCAATGAAAACCAAGGAATTCATAGTTTACCTTACGTATGAACTTCTTTATTTCTACCGAGTCAGTTGCTTTGACTTCAATTTCGTCGAATTCAGGAATAGTGAGTTTTTGTTGTTGGATTTCAGGCAATTTGGGTAAATGGTCAATAATGTCCTGCATGTCATAAAGATACTGTTCATTTGTTTCATCTTTCGCACTACAGTCTAAACTACCTGTTAACAGTTCCTGCTTTATCTTCTGGATTTCTGTTTCGAAAGTATATGAAGAAGGAATGAAGTTTTTCATCTCTACCAACATAGATGTTGGATTCATGACTAGCGAGTTTGGTGCTGTAGTTGTTTGAACTGTTGTTGTGCCGATTGTTGAAATCATATTTTTTATACAAAATAAAAAAATAAAAAAAAAAATAAAACTAACTTTATTTTTTATTTCGGGAAAATTCATGACAAATTCAAGAGGGTAGAAAACAGGTGAGAAAAGAGGTTAGATCTAACCTTCTACCCTAAACATTATTTTTTGGTGTAAATTTCCTAAACTGACGGCGCAAAGCGCCAAGACCGAAGGTCCTGACTGACTGACTGACGGCACAAAGTGGCATAACGAAAACATTAATATATAAAATTCATGAAAATTCAAGAGGTTAGAAATGAGGTTAGAAAAGAGGTTAGATCTAACCTTCTACCCTAAACATTATTTTTGCTGAATTCATTCATAACACCCTTTGTAAGCTCATAAAATGTTTGTTTTGAGGTCGAGCCACTTTTGGCTCCACCGTATTCTTTCAACCAAAACTCAAGAATTTCCCGCATGAATTTTGTATAAAAAGCAACCGTCGGAATTCAGACGGTTGCTATATTCTTCACAAAACATTTACGTTTAGTTTACGAAGAAGTCATGACAAATTCAAGAGGGTAGAAAACAGGTGAAAAAAGAGGTTAGATCTAACCTTCTACCCTAAACATTATTTTTGGTCCGGGAACAACTTTCTCTCAATTGGAGCTGTAGCATAATCTTTGCGTAAACGGTTCAGACCTTCTTCGAACTCTTGGTCTCTCTTCGATTTGTATTGAGATTGGAATTGCTGGAACATCCAAGGGTTGGGGAAGTAAGGCATAGGCTGAGGAGGAGGGTAGTTCGGGAAGCCTTGTAGTGGAAATTGGTAGTAACCTTGAGGTGGAAATTGGTAGTAATTTGGTGGAGGGACTTGCTGGAACTGAGGTGCAGGGGCTGGTGCTTTAGGTTCCTCTGGTTTGGGAATGGGCTCGGTTGGTGGGACGTCGGACATTCGTTTGTGGCTTAACCGTCGGAAGGAAGAACTTTTCCTGTCGGAAGGAAGAACTTTTCCTGTCGGAAGGAAGAACTTTTTCTGTCGGAAGGAAGAACTTTTCCTGTCGGATGGAAAATTTTTTCCTGTCGGAAGGAAGAACTTTTTCTGAAGTTCGACCAAAAAGTTCTCAATTTTCGAAAATTTGAATGGTTTACGGACGGAAAACTGGAAAAATTTTTCCTGTCGGAAGGAAAATTTTTTTCTGTTGGAAGGAAAAACTTTTTCTGTTGGAAGGAAAATATTTTTCTGTCGGATGGAAGGACTCGGAATGCCAGAAGGATTTGACGAGGCAATTTACCTAATTGAAATTAACGAGCGCGTAAAAGACTACTTGCGCAAGGTCATGAAGCCCAAGGTCAAGTTCACCACTATTTCTGGAAGGGCTGTCTTGAATCTCGAGACTTCGACCGGAATTCCAATTCAAATACCAGAAAACACTCCTTTCGACGACATAAAGGACGCCAAAAGAGAAGCTCTTGTTAAGTTCCTAAACAAACGTCCTTGGATAAAAATACCAAACAAGGAGAACCCCCTACCCCATATGAAATTGGCAATTCAGTCTCTCCTTCACTTCTCGGGTCAACCATTCTACATAACCTGTGAAGGCGACATCCAACCAGTTCAGTAAACATCTCATTTTAACTCACTTTTTTTATGTTTTTTTGTGAAAGTGTCAAAAATAAATTGTTTTCATGAAAATTCAAGAGGGTAGAAAAGAGGTTAGAAAAGAGGTTAGATCTAACCTTCTACCCTAAACATTATTTTTCAATACTTTTTCAGCACTTTTCCGTAGTTATATATGAAAGACAATTCGAGATAAAAGTCATAGTACAATGGAATAATATGTTGCACACCATTTGTTGTGAACCAAACTTGAAAGTCAGAGAAACTGTTACTAGATGGTTCGTAGAATTTAGAAGCAAAGTCATAAAAGTCCTTACCAATACATAGAAAACTATTGTTGCTTGAACTGAAACTTGCATGACACATAACATTTTGAGGGTCAAACACGTTTCTATAAACCATCAAATCTGCTGGTGGAAGTATAAATTTAAATGGACCATCTGGTGGTAATGGTTCGTTCTGGTTTAGTAACCGAAGAAATTGTGCCCAAGAACGTTTGTCTACTTCCCAAAATAAAAACTCTGTATCTCTTGGAGGGTTAATTTCAATCTTTTGAAATGAAACGGTGGAGTTCATCTTGTCATATTCTAGTTTCAGATAGTATGTTCCATTTAGTAAAGAGTGGTATTTTTCTTGAAATTCCCAATAATATTTGTTCATTTGAGTTTGAAAGTCATTTAGAGTTTTCTCAAGACTTTCGTCTGAACGAACTGTAAAGATCCTCATTTCGTCAAATTTGTCTATTAGACCATCAGAACCTTCATACTGCCCATGAAAATATACTGCGAACATAAATGCGTTAGTTCTATTTGAAAACAAAACTCTTCTAAATCCTATTGCCTTTGCATCTGAAGGACTTTGAAGCCAACGAATTGGATAGTCAAACCTGTATGCTCGGGATGAAATTTCTTCATCTGATATTGCCCTACCAGCATTTGTAAAGATATAGTCTAATGGTTTTGTATCTGCTACTTTTGTTCTTTGTTTTTCAACCTGAAGCATTTAATATATGTAAAAAATATTGTTTTTAAAATGGTATGCCATATAGCTTCTTGAATTTGTTAAGAAGTATTTGAACGTTTTTTCCATCTGTATCTCTAGTGTTTACATAAGCATAGCCCGCCTTAGTAAAATATACTTGTAATTTCCTATAGTTTACGCCGGTATAAAAGTAGAAAGAGTCTTGTTCTTCGCTATAGTAGTAAAACTCAAACGTATGCTTGCCATAGTCTGTAATTTCAATTGTTTCATCGTCTAGTTCGTCGACAAATTCGAATACAATATCTCTAAATTTGCCTTTGTTCTTATTGTT